TACAGGGCTCTGATCTGAGGCGGAGAGGATCCAAGTGGGGAAGGAGACAAGGCAGCTGAGAAAAAGAATCGAAAGCAACAGAGTAAGGTTTTCTTTCTTTCGTGTCTGCAGTAAGAGCATGGAAATGAGGTATGGGGGTTATGAGGTAATGGGATCTATTGCTTGAATATCCGAGAAAGCGAGAAGCAGGTAATTTAATAACAACACAAACCAGCTCATTTACGAAATAAGCTGTTGTGGCTGCTTAGAGGTTGCGAGGAAGACCACAGTGAACATGCAGATGTTCATTTCCCATCCTCCCCTGTGACGGTCAAGAACTGCACTCACCAGCCCTGCAGCAGGATCTACACCCTGCCCCTGGCTGCCAGCACAAAGCCAGCCCCGGCCTTGGAAAACACCAGCTGGCTCTGCTGGCCTGTGTGGCCTAGTCAGTATTTTTGTTCCTTCCTGGGAGCAGCCGTTCTCAGCCCATTAAAAAAAAAAAAAGTTCTATCTACATTGAGATCCTTACTGAGCTCCACCAGGATCACACCTCAGCTCTGCATCACTGAGTGAGTTCAGGCCCTCCGGCATTCGTTTGGCAAATGGAGAGCCCAACACCAGATGTGGCCATCTCCTCACACAAGCGCCCTGACACCAGTGACCCACGGCAGCCAACTTCCCCAAACTGCAAGGGACCTTCAGCTGACTTCCCTGGGATTTAAACTTTGATCTACAGGTGGTTTCACGGGCAACGTACACAGCCTTGGCATTTCAGCAGTAACAGTGTCAAACTACGAGTAGTAGAAGATACTCATTAGCTGCTCCGAGTTATTTTTCTGGGTAAAAACAAAAAACAAACAAACAAACAAAAAAATCAGAGACAAGGATTCCTGTTTGCTGCGAGATCGTAACAAGCCCAGCAGCTTTAGCTGCCACATCTAATGGGAAAAAAACCAACCTCAAGATAGCAAATAAATTTCTTTTCCATTTCTAGGTCCACCAGGTACAGAGTTAACTTCATCTCTGTTCCCTACCAAAAGCCGTATCTCTAATCTGTAACTTAATTAGTGTCGCTAACGAAAAGCGGCACAGGCAAAGCCAGTTGCAGGTCCCAGGCCACGCGTCCAACATGAGACAGCAGTAAAGCAGCAGAAAGCTCCTTGGCAGCTTCTTTGAAAACTACTGTTCTTAAGTTAGAGAAGGGATGCATAAGAAAGATTCATGAGTTTCACTATCATTTCCTAAGCAATCACGTTTTATCCAAACAAGCTGTGGGAACACTCATCCTTCTCAAGCGGTTACAAGCCCCAGTAATTTCTTCATCAGTACCTGCTGCTGTTTGACACTCAGGGTTTCCAGGAGATGAGACACACACCGCCTGGTAGCCTACCCACCCCGCTCTGTGGTCAGGGCTCTACACTTTGTTCCAGATGAAGCGGAACATGTTTGCACCTAATGAAGTGAAGCATGCTAAGCTGTTCCACCTTGTTTCATCTCGTGCCGCGCGGTGGCAAAAGCAGAAGCCACACAGACACCTTAGACTTTATTTCTCAATGTACCAACACCACACAGCTGGTAGAGTTTGCATATTTTAAAAGTATTGTATTTCCACTCTGATGCTGAATGTATGTAACCTGAATACCTTATTTTGGCAAACATGGCTAGTAATTCGCTTATGCAAGTCGTGTTTGTGACCATCCATCCTCCCATGGAAACATTCGTGTTGCTTAGGCATTTTTTTGACCTTGGGCTCAAGACCTGCCCAAGGACTGCAAGGATGTGACTGCCTACACATGCCAATTCCCTGGTATTTGACGCTGGCAGCCGTCCAACCTTATTATGCAGTATCACAAGATGGACTAGGCCTTCCCTCTAAGTATCCACAACGCCACAGGGATTTGGCAAGTTTTGTAAGCGGTCTTCGTTAGAAACTATGATGTCTATATAAAGATTATGACCAATTAAAGAGAGACTTGATCTCACCAGCATAAAGAATCAAGTTTTGAAAGCTAGAGTCAGTGTGACATTAATAAAACTGGAAGTAAAAAATGACTCAAGAGCCCACATGAAAGGATAACATTAAACAATAAGAACTTGACATTAAAAGCCTTTTTTTTAAAAAAAAAAAAAGTGGTTACAAAGAATTAAAAACAGCAAGGGAGCAGCAGGCCCAAGCTGTGCTTCAATCTCCAGCCTACTGGCAGAACAAACCCGCTGGAGTCTGCAGTAGCACAACCAGCTCAGCAGGTTCCTTCGGATGCTGCCTGCCTCAGCAGCTGGAGCACAACCTCCACTTTGATCAGGAAGTTTAGACCTAGACATCGTTGAAATGGTTAGGCAGTGTACACATGAGAATATGAAAGCTACTCCTTGGCTGACGCACACCAGCAGCAGCTCCGATAGACGTCCTTCATTCCCAGGAGTCATTGCTGCTAACAGCCATCTCTGCTGACCCAGCACTAGGCTGATATTTTTCACCATCGGACCCAAGTTTCTGTTAGCCAGATACTTAAGCCACTGGAAGAGTCTGCACTGGGGGCGAAGCCTTTGCTCCCCATCACACCAGCTGAATTCACACAAGCTCCTGGAGTGCTGCTAGTTCCTCGACCATCATTTCCAAGGGATCTCCAAGCTCACCAGTGCTGTGGGGTAATCCAGCCCAGGAAGCAAATGTACGCAGGACAAATTAGAAGTTTTTCCATTACAGCAAAACAGAAGAGGACGAAGAAAGTTTCCGGCCACCCATGGAACCCCTCCTTGCCCCACAGCTATATGTTCACGCTGTAGAGTTGATAAATGCGCATGGCTACCACCATCTTTGGCTTAATTTCAGTTTCGCAACCAAATCTGCTTTCATCCAACACTTACAGGCCAGATAAAACCAAGGAAAAATAAACCCCCCTGTTGGAGACACATTTCTCACCTGCATATTGCATCACGACTCATCTGGCCTCATTTTACACCTACAGGCATATTCTGTGAGTCTGTGGTTTATAGCCAGAGAGTGACAATGGGCTGTTTCAAGAATTCAGTCATGTCCAGCTTCAGCTGATGCGTATTGACGAGAACAGGCAGGGCAGTAAAGGAAAGCACGCTTCCTACAAGTGATGTATCAAGAGTAAGTCCAGTAAGTAGAAAAACCCGCACCACAAAAAAACCACGTGCCAAAAAACACACCCCACCCCCAGCAAACCCCACATTCAATTGTTTTTTAAATCGTAGGGCTCCCTATGATGAAGCAGAGAGTCTTGAGTCAGTCAAGTGAGAAATTAGTACCGAGGAGGTCTCATCTGACAAGAGGAGATGCTGGACAGCCAGTGAATTCGGCCGCATGCAGAGCTGCTACGCTTGCTAGAAATAAGTTAGGAGGAGGGGAACAGTTAAGGGGCAAAATTCAAGCTGAAAACTTTGGTTTGAAATTATACATTACTGTCTAATGTTTTCTTTTAATGGCCTTTTATATCATTCACAAACCTCAGCTCTGAGTACCAAGAGGGAATCTCAAGCAGTCATTCTCACAGAAAGCTGTGGCTTCTAAGGATCCCCCAAAAGGTCACGATGTGAACTGATACCCACAGGAAACTTTTCTAGCGGTTTCCCATAGCCAGGATTCCTGAACTTCCAGACAAAACACCAGTCAGCCTTCAGCTCCCCTCCTCCCCTTCTCTTTTTTAAACAGATCTAGGCTGGCATTAGTTTGCAAACCCCTTATTATGGCCCAAAGGACCCCAGTCCTGCACTGAAATTTAAAGTCTAGTCCTTCTCAGAGAAGAAATTAAGCCACAAGTTCCATTTTCAAAGGAAAAATGTCAGTAGAGTAAAGACAAAGTGTTCAGATTTATTTGGAAATTCACAGTTTCTAATGGCACTACAGCTCTGTAGTTACATACTCTTGTTCCACAACACTGTATGCTGCACTCAGGTGGTATTTCTTTTTCTCATCCAGGTCTGAAACCCTTCTGAATTTGCCTTCAACATGTCTGGTTCATGTGCTCTGACTGGCTAATTGTGCAGATCAACTCCAAAAGTACATCACCTTAAAGTATTCATAAACTAACAAGAAAGCAGCAAAAAAACCAAAGGCTTTAAATAAGTCACATTACATACAATAACCAGGAAAGGCATTAGATCTGTTAAAAAGGGTACCACTAAAAGTGCTCAATAAGTTAACTTATTTTCACAACGTGAACCTGTAACGCCTGCCAAAAGGAATACCCTTTTGTTCCACTCGCTCAGATACACACTCAACATTTTAGCAATCACACATCCTATAGTATCCAAATATACAATCACAGTCAAAATAAAAAAACCACTTGGATATGAAAATACCAACCATACAAACACTGCACATTTGTTAGCCAATACAAAAGCAAACGTTATGGAAATATCCACTTTGAACCAACCTGACCCATCAGACTTCAAGGCTTTGCAAACTCAACACAGCTGCACCAGCTCACCCTGGCATTTCCCAGCTGAGCTGAGCTTTTTCCTGAACTCTCAAGCACAGAAGCAGTGAGCATTCCCATTTACTTCCTTCAGGGAAGTACAGCAGGCAATTTAGGTAACAGATGCATTCGTCAGCCCAAGATCCCATGGTACGCAAGAAATCCTGAAGAGCAACTGTCCTTCCTTTAGTACCTCAGACTACAGCTCTGATTTGTAACGGAAGGTGGAAAACAGACATTATGACCATCTCTAGTGAGGTATTTTCCTCAACTGAGTTTGCAAAACCAGAATCTAGTCAGGCAAGTCCATCTATTAGTATTTTTACAGTATCCAGTCCATATTACTGAGTCCAGCTGAAGGCCAACACATGTCCCTTTACAGCACTGTAGTGTTGCATCTTCAAAAAAAGCTAGAGAAATTACAAAATAAATCAAATGACAAACAATTGTATCTCCCCTCTTCCAGTGGCATTATAAATAGACAAAAGGCACATAAATATGGGAAGGTGCAAGAAATAGGAACAAAGCTAAAGGAAGAGGATTAGGCTTTTATCCCTATTCCACCCAACAAACTGGGTTTCAAAAAATCTCTGCCCCAGGAACTGTGAAAAAAAACCTTTATAAAATGAACCCTGCCCTCCCTCCCCCCCAAGCTGTTCTCATAGGAAATTATCAGCCTTGTAAAGCTGCAGCTTATAGCCAAGATTGACACAATCCCATCTATTTAAAAAGGCAGAAACCAAATTTCTGAATACTTTCCAATTAGTTGAGCTCTTCGTCTCCCACTATCCTCCCACAGAATACCACAGACTGTTCTCAAACGAACAAACACTCTCCTGTTTGAGAAGTTCAGCTAGTTTTATATGTGTCCAGAAACTGTCGTGACACCAAGTGTTCCCACTGTTATATCTTTGTTTCCTTTGATTATGTCATGCAGGCTTGGCATTGACCCCGACTTAGTCTGTATTAGAGTTTTTATGAGCTTCCCTTGGTCTGAAACTTTAGACCGTCTTCGTTTTATAGCCCTCTTCTCAGTTTTTGTCTTTTGGGTCTGTCCATTGCACAGACTCGTACATGCTGAAATGCCACAAAAATAGGACTCCTCAGATTGCGATGACGTTTCTGAGCTTCCTTCGGATGGAGGGCCCTTATATGAAGAGTGATAAACTTCCCCAATGTTAGAGAAGTCCCTCTGGTTCGTAAACGGCTTCCTTCCTTTAATTTCCCCGTTGGCTATTGGATGCAGAGGCTCTGTTGTTGGCTTAATAGTCTCTATTTTTTCACTTTTGTATTTACAACGCTTTTTCTGAAACCACAAGTAAAAACAGAAACAGTTAGGTTCTAGAAGGCAAGCAGAGCGTAAACACCAAGACTAGGAACCCGCTCAGGGCAGAGCAGCTGAGACATGCACCACCTGCCGGCAGAAACACGCCCAGCTCAGCCAGCCCCCTCCACAGCCACTGTACCTTCTTCTCTGGGGAAAACTTCAGGGGTTCTACAATGTACAGGTCCTCTGGATCCACTGTAAGAGAGAACATAAATTTAGCAGTCCTGACACTGCCAGCTCTAGAGCGACACAGTTTAAATAAATAACAGCACGACAGAATATTCCACTTATCACATGCATTTTTGCCCCTGTTACAAGTTAATGGAGGTACAACACATGGAGGAATTCCCCTATGCTGTCAAGGCAGCTGTCAGTGACATACACTCGAAAACACTTGACCTCTTGATAGATTAGGCCATAGGAGAGGTGCAGAGAACATCTGTGCCTTTGGGGAAAAGGAACAATGGGCAGCAAATGTTAGCTTCTACAAAACCAAACTTAATAGTGTTTAAGGTGCAGCCTGCCCACAGCAGGACAGATACCAGAAGCACGTGTACCTATCAAGGACTCAGATGTTCCGACTGACATGAAACCAGTCTGGCACTCCTCCATCAGCATTTTGTAAATCATTCTTCCAAGCCAAAGCAGGGGAGAATTTGGAAAAAGCAGGTTTTGAAAAATAAAATAATTTACACCTTAGCTAGTCTCCATTGCAACATGTTCCCAATTCAACTCACGAGTTTTCATGCAGTTTTATTCACAGTACTAAAACCCATGAAACAAGTTTGTTGCACCCAGAAAAGCAGTGTTAGCTGCATACTTGGTAGTTACTATTATCTGCAACACTTCTGGTTTTGCATGATGATGATGAAGACCTAAGAAATCAAAAGTCAGTTGTCCCAAGTGTAACATGAATACTGAAAAGACCAGATCAGTCCTCATACCCCAGCCAAGACAAATAGTCTAAACTTTCTTACTACAGTTGCTAAATTTGGATCCTAAGTACCTGCCAAGTTTCAAAGACAGGCTATCAGGGCTTCTGAGAAGTTTGGGCATTCAGACTTACCGTGTCTGGCATTTTAAAAAAACCCTGCCACTTTCTGGAAGCTTCATAGCTCTGTAGACCTGAATGCCTGCATGGATTTCTACTAACCCCAAGGAAATATCTGTAGTGTATAAACAATAGCAAAGACTACATTTAAGGTTTTAGCATAATTTAGTACAGTTCTGTGAGTGTCTGGTAACTTGCTGATGAACCACCTTGTCCTACAGAATGTGTACGTGAACTACTATAATCCAGTGTACTTTGACATTAACCTGCAATTCCATTTTCATACACTTGCAGTAAAACACACACTGTATAGCACTAATAGAGTAGCTCTAGGGACTAGACATAGGATATCTGAATAATACCTTCTTTACCAGCTAGCTGAAAAGACTGTGATCTGACCAGTGGAAGAGAAGTTCTTCTTTTCAAATTCATATCATCATAGGAGGAAAAACATCTAGGAAACAAAAATCCACAAAGCTTTTTTAAACACATTTTTCTCAGGACTCTGTCATATGCATTTTTCACTAAGAAACATCTTTGGCAGAAGGACAGAATTATTTACTGAGGTGCCCAAGAAAGCCTGGCAAACAGACATGGTGCTATATTTGCAACAAGCTATCAAGGCACGTGAAGTGTAGCAGCCCCAAAATACTCCTAGTAGAGTGTTACTACAGAGCAGTAATGGCTCTTTGCTACCAATTTTGAGTTTCAGAAAGAAAACTCAGAATTAAAGCAGATGTGCCAGTCCCAGTAGATTTAGGAAATATCAATAAAAGCTGCAAGAACAATTAAGTTTCAAGTATAAATAAATTACCTTTTAGGGCTAGGGTAGTGATTACTTTTGGGAATTTTTGAGAGGTAATCTTCACAGAACTGAGAAGTGCTTCTGCACCGCTGCACACAAAGCACCAAGCCCAGAATGACACAGAGCAGCAGAGAAATCACGAGGTAAGTCTGCCGATCAGAAACCTGGAAGAATTTTATATAGTTGTTAAAGACAAAGAATGATTTAATGATACTATTATTCTCATGTTTTAAATGTTAAAATCTTTAAAAGAACACAATTGACACATTCTCAAGTCACTTTCCTTCAATTTCACTGAACACTTGGTTCAAATTTGGGTATTTTTTCAGAGGTTTGATGTTGTCTATTGGCTATGCAGCATTCAAGGAGTGAAGGCTGAAAACACAGGGCAAGATTTCCCTGACTATGTTACTACCATAATTTAAAGAAGCAGCTGCCCTTTGCAAAGAACATTCAAACCTATCTGAGAGTAATACGCTTTCCATCAATTTTATGCGATGCTTTTCATCAGCTGACACTGCAGCACTTCACAGAATAGTGTTATATTCGCTTGATTTCATCTTTCTGATCACTCTTCCATAGCACAACCTAGCAGAAGGATTTTTTCAAGTATGTTATTTCCGAAGATACCCCAGCCAAGACAAATAGTCTAAACTTTCTTACTACAGTTGCTAAATTTGGATCCTAAGTACCTGCCAAGTTTCAAAGACAGGCTATCAGGGCTTCTGAGAAGTTTGGGCATTCAGACTTACCGTGTCTGGCATTTTAAAAAAACCCTGCCACTTTCTGGAAGCTTCATAGCTCTGTAGACCTGAATGCCTGCATGGATTTCTACTAACCCCAAGGAAATATCTGTAGTGTATAAACAATAGCAAAGACTACATTTAAGGTTTTAGCATAATTTAGTACAGTTCTGTGAGTGTCTGGTAACTTGCTGATGAACCACCTTGTCCTACAGAATGTGTACGTGAACTACTATAATCCAGTGTACTTTGACATTAACCTGCAATTCCATTTTCATACACTTGCAGTAAAACACACACTGTATAGCACTAATAGAGTAGCTCTAGGGACTAGACATAGGATATCTGAATAATACCTTCTTTACCAGCTAGCTGAAAAGACTGTGATCTGACCAGTGGAAGAGAAGTTCTTCTTTTCAAATTCATATCATCATAGGAGGAAAAACATCTAGGAAACAAAAATCCACAAAGCTTTTTTAAACACATTTTTCTCAGGACTCTGTCATATGCATTTTTCACTAAGAAACATCTTTGGCAGAAGGACAGAATTATTTACTGAGGTGCCCAAGAAAGCCTGGCAAACAGACATGGTGCTATATTTGCAACAAGCTATCAAGGCACGTGAAGTGTAGCAGCCCCAAAATACTCCTAGTAGAGTGTTACTACAGAGCAGTAATGGCTCTTTGCTACCAATTTTGAGTTTCAGAAAGAAAACTCAGAATTAAAGCAGATGTGCCAGTCCCAGTAGATTTAGGAAATATCAATAAAAGCTGCAAGAACAATTAAGTTTCAAGTATAAATAAATTACCTTTTAGGGCTAGGGTAGTGATTACTTTTGGGAATTTTTGAGAGGTAATCTTCACAGAACTGAGAAGTGCTTCTGCACCGCTGCACACAAAGCACCAAGCCCAGAATGACACAGAGCAGCAGAGAAATCACGAGGTAAGTCTGCCGATCAGAAACCTGGAAGAATTTTATATAGTTGTTAAAGACAAAGAATGATTTAATGATACTATTATTCTCATGTTTTAAATGTTAAAATCTTTAAAAGAACACAATTGACACATTCTCAAGTCACTTTCCTTCAATTTCACTGAACACTTGGTTCAAATTTGGGTATTTTTTCAGAGGTTTGATGTTGTCTATTGGCTATGCAGCATTCAAGGAGTGAAGGCTGAAAACACAGGGCAAGATTTCCCTGACTATGTTACTACCATAATTTAAAGAAGCAGCTGCCCTTTGCAAAGAACATTCAAACCTATCTGAGAGTAATACGCTTTCCATCAATTTTATGCGATGCTTTTCATCAGCTGACACTGCATCACTTCACAGAATAGTGTTATATTCGCTTGATTCTATGGGTTTCATCTTTCTGATCACTCTTCCATAGCACAACCTAGCAGAAGGATTTTTTCAAGTATGTTCATTTCCGAAGATTGACAGATGAAGCTTACTAGAATTACAAGGAAGCTGAAATCCAATGTTTAAAAAAAATGAATTGTACAGTTGTTTTCCTATAAAAACCTAGACCAAGAGATCTTAGAAGTCATAAAAAGACTTTAGAAAAGACAAGGAACATGACTTCCCATTTTGTAATGAGCAAGTGTCTCAAATTAATAGACTCAGGTGACCAGAGTTGAGTTCAGGGAAAGCCATGTCTTCAAATTCCAGGATACTCATCTAACATACCCTGACGATCACCACTGTCATATCCTGGTTAAAACTGAACAGGAGCTTAGCCAGGCAGGCAGCAAAGAAGGAGTCTCGCTGTTAGGAAACAGCTCAAGAGACTTCTTTGGCAACACGCACAACAAGAAAGGTCACGTTTATGGTACTGCTTGAAATCCCAGGCTGGAGAAAGTAAGCATTTGAGAGAATATGTTCCTAATATTGCTGCCAAGATTTCCCTAATCTCAAAAGATCACAATAGCCAGTGGGGAAAGAAGGGTGCCTCAGCCATGTGAGCTTCCCATTCAGTAGCTAAGACTGCAACCCTCCACATACTCATGTGTTGTAATAGCCCAGTTCTAACAGTGGCCAGTACACTCTTGCTCCCTAAACCTCCTATGGCAAGAATCTGTTAATATTAAGTGCAGGACACTGCAAAGCATCCTGTTTTACTGAAGCTGTGTAGCAATGCCATGCAATACAACTGGTTACGTAATGCAGCAAGTGCCACAAAAGTTCTTGAAGCATGAATTTTACCATTCCTTCTGACACGTCAAACATTCTATATGTGCAACAAATCCCATTATTGCCATTTCAAAATCAGTGGTTAGTCTTCTAATTTCATTAAGAATAATTTCATGGGAGGATATCAATTCCAATGCACTACAGTAAGGCTGAGAAATTAAGTTATTCTAAGTCTTATCTTTATGGTTAGTAGGGCTGTAGTAGAAATTATTACCAATCTTGCTGTGCACAAGACAGCTCCAACTACTTAAACTTTCCTCCCCTCCCTTGGCCAGCTGCTAAAGTAGGCTGAAAACAACACTACAGATAACTTCCCAAATGAAAAGCTTCATTTAAAGACTCCAGGCCTCTTCAAATTGAGATCTGCTTATACATCCATTTCCTTTGAGTTCTCACACCATATTGCTGAATTATAATTACCTCACGTTTTAATTCCGCCACAGTTGTTGACAGATTGGAAACTAGCTGTGTCATGTTGGTGAGCTGTGCTTGTAACAGCTGGATTGCTTCTGTTTGCCGCTGATCCTGTATTAAAGAGTCATGGCCATGCAATTTAGTTGTCAGGTTCCCACCATCATATGTACCGAGTTAGCGTTCTGTCTGACACAGCCAGGTATTTTATAGCCAAATGACCTATTCAGGATTGTTTGCAACACAACTTTCACGCAACATTTGAAACTGCTTAAGCAGCACTAGTCATACACATTCTTAAAAACATCAACATTTTTACTTATCAAATAATGTTTTGTAACATTATGCCAAGTGCATTTCATTACAGTGACTTCTGCTATCTTCATTAAAGGCAGATCAAGCAGCCAGCTCCATGCAATGACTATCAGGAAGTTGAATACTGTCATATTACAAAATACACATGCAGATGACCAGGCAGAGCTCATGTCTAAGGGCTGACACATAGCTTCTGTTCTGGGACCAGGCAGCCAGCCACTTAATGACAGGAGCCCAAGCCAGCCAGAAGGACATCCTTTGCAGTTATCTCCTTCCCAGAAAGAGTCCTAACAGGATTCTTAATCCTATGAGAAACTAAGAAAATTAAGCAGAGTATCGGGAAGGTTAACCAAGAGGAACACCTCAGACTGACCAGCATTTTATACTATTCAAAAAAAGCAGAGAAGAGCACGCATATGATTCTCAGGGAAGTTGCGATTTTCTTCAATGTTGATGGATGAGCAAGCTACAGGGCTGGGACTGCACTTTAGAAATGTTCAGACAGTTTGGGATTAAGCCTGCTATGCCACATGCACACTTGCTTTTGTGATTATTCAGCACTGCAGTTAGCACTGTATTTCACAGCTGCTCTAGAAAGCTAGGATGGCAGAGCAGGGAAAACTTCCTTCAGCTGCCACTTCCTTAAACCACATTTTAAAAAATGAAGGTTTTGTAACATGCACTACACTTTCAAACACAAATTTGGCATAAGCCATTACTGTACCCCTTACTGTACCCCTCTCCCTTTCTAAAGGCTAGTCTCTTCAGCAGCATCAGGGCAATTGTCTATCTATACTTTAAATCAGAGATGAAAGCCAAACCAAATTAAAAAGTGTTTGAGTGCAGCTATAACCAAGAAACAAGGGTTGGAAATGACCTGGATAACTTTTTGATTGACAAAGACATTTAAGAGCTTTAGCCATTACCAGCTGACAACTGATTTTTTTTTCTTCAAATACCAAAATCAGGAAACAGAGCTGGAAATGACTTTATTCTAAAACAACTGGGAACATATCTAGCAGTTTTATTACAGAGAAAAAAAAAAAAAACACACCTGGGAAGCATGGAATGGATACTTTTAAAAGGCAGATATGCAGCTAATAAAAATCTTCAACTGAAAGAATTTCTGTGCTTCCTTGCAACTCTTTCTTAAAAGTAAACTTTCCTAATTAGGAAAACACTTAAGTACTCCAACAAAACATACCTGCTCTTCTGCTATTCTTGAGGTGTTCTGAAGTTTTATTATTGTTTTATTGAAAGCCTTCTGCATTTCTTCCATTTGCTTTCGGTACCTAAAAGAGAGTGTAAAGGTCTGAAGTGCTAGTTCATAAAACTCCTTGGCACTAGACTTGTCTTCAAAAAAAATGCAACTATGCCAGCAGAAAAATTCTCTTTGCCCAAAGAAGTTTTGTTTAAACACCAGGTGGTATTTCTTTGTAAGTTTCACACACAAAACAAATGTGTGTGTAGGGGTTTTGTGGTTTTTTTCCCAGGTTAAAGTCAAATCTATTTCAACACCTTGGAGCTTAGTGCCAATTATACTGGAATTTACTATGGAGAATTCTCTGCAAACACTGACTGTCAAGACATACAACACAACAGTAAACATAATGAAGAGCCCCTTCCTTGGAACCAGTTCTGAAATGGGGACATTTCCTGATTCTCCTATGACTAAGGAACACCACAGATAAACACAAATATCTATACATCCCTCACAAACTTCTTGGTCCCCTCTCCATGCTCCCTTCTTCAACAAGAGTTATTACAGATAATACTGTACTTCAAGTGGAAACAATCAGTTCAGTAAAGAAGGCGTTGTAGGGCTGTGTCATTCAGTTAAACAGCAACAGGAGGATGTGCCCTTTTGTTGAAAGGATTATAGACAGGATTAGTGCTTACATCCTGGAAACACTTTATCCTTTTAAAAAACTGACAGCAGTAGTCCTCAAAACAAAATAAATGTGATTGTATCTGAAATACAGAAAGGGAATCCCTGCCACCCGCAGGCATGTAGGTCTCTAGTAGCTACCCAGGATTAGGTACTTTTCTCAGTTTTCCATAAAGCTGTGATTTTCATTATACTCTGTTTCCACTGTACGACTTTCCATATGGGTATGTTCCTTTGTATAGTTGGCTAAAATCACGTTTACATATGGTAGACTCTTACTAGTCTCCCTCAGACTTACCTCTGACTAAGTTCTTCTAAATAACGGCTGCTGAGAGACATATTTACTTCTAGGGCTTTTATGCGATTATTAAGGCGCATGAAGACAGACTCCTTTTGATTAGATCCATGAACGAGGTTTCCGTTAGCATAGCCTAGATCTGTTGAATTCTGCAATTCAGCATAGAAGTCTGTAGCTGTTCTCTGCGGTCCCCCAGAGACAGGAATCGCCATTAAAGCTTCTTCAGTTGCCTGATCATCCTCCTTTGTTTCAGCAGATACAGAAGACTCAACAGGAGGCAAAACCGGTTTCTGCACTTCTGGAGTGCTTTCCTTTCCTTCCCCAGAATCACTAGCTAACACACCCACTGTATATTCAGGTTGCAGAACAGACATCTCTGTAGGCTTTGAAATCACTGGAGTAGCAATTGTCTCTCTTGAGCTCATATCCTTTACCTCAGGAGAGGTACTGGCCACACTGGTCTCAGAAGCTACAAGGTTTTCTTCTGCAACAGAGCTCTCAGCCTTTTCTGTTTCTGCACTGATCTCAGCTATATCCACCTGGGGAGTCACCCTTGGTGCTACCTGGCCTGCATCTTCTTTTGCAGGCTCCAACGCCATGTCTGTTGTTGGCAATGGCTTAACTTCAGAAGTAACTTCTAAGAGGAGGGATTGAGAGACAGTTTGAGGATGGCTTGGTTCCAGTTCAATTGACTCTGTGGTCTCATTACCGATCTCCTCATGGACCACATTGCTGAATTCAACGGCAAAAGTAGATCCAGAAGGTCTCTCAACTTTGCTGTCTAATTGCTCAGGCAGAGGCTCGTCTGTTGATGTATGTATAGATTCGGTCAGAACCGCCTGTGGCTGCTGAACATCAGCAGAGTGATCTTGCCCTTGTCTACCTTCAGTTTTGCTACGCTGCCGATGCATGGCTACTGCAACTGAACACCATTTAAACAGATATTCTGTAAAGGTGGAAATACAACATGCTGTTGCCATATCATAGCAATACTTTTCTGTCTCAAGTTCAAACCATGCCGATGCTTCCTCTTCCTGATCATCACTGGGCAGCAAGGTTACCGTTGACTGGCTCGTATCTTCTTCATATTCTTGTACTAGCTGAACAATAGGACTTTCTTTTGTCAAATCCACATTTAATTGCTCTTTATCCATCTGTGGAGTATCTGTAGTAACAAGTCTACAATAGAAGAGTTAAAGATGGGAAGTTACTTCAACAGTTTTACAAGCCTGCTCTGGAAGACTGCAAAAGTAGGATCTTTTAGAAAATTAGCAAAGCTTATTCCAGTGACCAAAGGCCAGTTGGATATAGTCAGAAATTCTGTAAGTTAGTACGTTCTCTGGCGTTTTTCAATCCTGATTTGCAAACAAATTATTTCAACCCTTGCTTCTGAAACAGCAAGCTTTCTCAATCAGGTATTGTCCCTTCCCTCACCCCTGAATAAGGTCACCAGTTCAAATATCACTAAGTTCTTACACAGCAAGCATCTTACTCTTCTGCTGCAATCTTCAAATGCAAATGAAAGAATCACAACCTTCCCACTGACCTTCCTCAATCTCTCAACAATCAGAGGGCTAGTAAACCGTAAAACAACTAAATACAGCATGAGTCATATCTTCACATTTAAGAGCTAGAGTCTCAGCGCTAAGTAGCCAAGTCAATTCTAAACAATTGTAATCAACTGAAAAACACCCCCACAGAATATCTATATACCAGTCCTCCTCCCAACCTAGTTCCATATCTTTGCATACATTTTTTCATCAAGGAAAGCCTAGCAAAAGATATAAGCTTCTGAAACAGATTTTTTTTGGATACAATTTAACTGAAGTTTCAGCAACACAACTTAATTCCTAATTAGTCCCCCTTGCAGGAAACAACCTGCAAAACCTGGAAGAATATTAAGTCAGTTTCTACCGAAGAAATCCACAAGAGCCAAGAGCAAACCACACCTACTTCTTCTAAACAAAGTAAGACAAACAACTGAGACAGTCAGTGATGCATTTTGACACTCAGTCAAGTGTTAAAACAGCATACTGTAACAGAAATAGCTATAAACAGTAACTAAAGCAATTAACTTCCCTGGTTAGTATATTACCATACTGCACATTTCACCAAATACTTGCCTTTTTACTTGTTTAAGGGAGTGTGCCATATCTGAGCATTCTACTACCAAAGATTCCACACTCGTGCATGTTAAGTCTCTGCTAGGAACACATTGAAAAAAACCCAACACCAACCACTTACTCTGGTGAGGGAACAGGAGTTGGTTCAGGCAGTCTTGGTGCAGCTGTTGAAGTTGCAGGGGTGGCAGTGACATTTTCAGACACACTTTTGTTCCCTGCTGCAGGAACGAGGAAAATGTGAACGTAAAAACTCAAGGACCATGTTAGTTTTCAGTGACTTTGGGAGTCTTGGGGTTTCTTTAGATTATTATCATTCAAAGGTATTTGAATGAAGGTGCTATTGAAAATTTATGTATGAGATGTTATAGATAGTCTCAAAACATTTCAAGGAAGAACCAGCAAGTCAGACTTTACAACTGCAGCTGGGTAACATAGAGAGTAAAGATCTCAGAATATAGCCGAACAAACACATGCATTATTTTTGTGTCTGTTCCCTTCTTAGCAAATCCAGCATCTTTGTTCCACGTTTCAAAGTCAGTAGGATAAGAATTCTATGGTACTACTCAGGTATGACATAAAAGGTGAACAAATAATTTAAACAGACCATCCAACTCCTCACAAAAAATTAAACAAAATAATAAAAAGAATTTAAACTTTCCAGAATGCTTTTCATCTTAAAAAAAATACCTTCAGCTTCAGATGACTCTTCAGTTTTGGCTCCGAGCATATTAGCAGCAATATTCACCATACTTAGGATAGCATCTAAAAGAGAAAACAACTAATCAAAGAGGACATATTCAGAGGGCCCAGAGATTAGGACCACCAAGCAATCTGGTATTTTGTAACACTTGCTTGAAACAAATCACAGCATGAGGACATAAAAAAATCCAGTCATTCTATTACACTGGATGCATCTGTTGCTTTTAAAGGATAAATTTAGAAGCTTTGAGTATTTGACTATTCGAAAGCCCATCTCTAACCTTTACCAGCTAGACCTTCTAACACCAGTGAGAAGTATTCACTGATCATTAGTCCACTGAAACCAAGGTACAGCAAGACAAAAAGAAGAATATTTAAGCATGAAATTTTCTGACAATCTGAGTGTGTGAACCACAGAGGTAGGTCCCAAGACAGAAATTTAGAGCTTGAACACTCAGAAGGAGGAGCTCTAATAAAGACAGGTTGGATCGTTTGGCAAAATAATACTGAAGAAATGAGTCAAGAAATGCCATTTGCTAAATGAGCAAGACAGAATTCTGCCTCTGAACACTGGATCTCCACAGCAGGACAGACACAGAAAGCTACAGATTCATTCAAATTAAGCTGGACTCTGTCATTTTGCATCATACCTCCCTCCTTAATCCTGAATCTTACTTTCGGCTCTGATACTCCTGCAACATAACAATTTTAAGATTTGAAGAAGCAAATCTACACTTTACAATCTGTTGCTGGAATGCAATCTTGATCAGTAAAGGCAACTGGAAGAAAACTGTAACAAATACCCACAGATCTGGCTTAAATATGGGGTTTTTTAAGGATTAAGTAGAGGAGTTTTTTCCCCACAAAATTCATAGTAAATGCAAAGAGGTTATATATCATATGCCAATATGCTACATCAGCATGTATATTAGCTACAGCTAAGTCTTTGGTCTTGATACTGAAAACAAATATCATTGCCAGGCTTATTTAGAAGATGAGGAGCAGGGCAAGAGCACCTTATACACACACAAAAGTTGGCCCAGTTTTGCCCATTTCTCCCCTGCCCACCAACTTAGATCTGTACTGTATGCCACATGGATAAGTTCCTAAAGCTAGAGAGGCATTTTAGTAGTAATGACAAATTTCTTAGATTCCAGGAAGCTCCACTCAGAACCTTGGTTCTGCCTTTCCTCCAAAACGCATCAGAAAATACATTCCCGAATTACATATTTATCTGGGGCTCTATTCTTTGAAAAGTTACAATAAACAAAAGCTGTTAAACTTGAAGTCTGAATGGTTTCTTATTATTGACGGAGAAGCAGTAAAAGAGGGAGAATTAAGAGTTCATATAGAAGCCTGCTAGTCTAGGAGAACAGCAAGAAGAACAGTGAGCCACCCCCACAGGTTAGGCTAGCAGAAGACTGCAAAATACTTCTAAAGAGATCAAATGACTGAGAAGCCCCATCTCCTCCTCAGAGGTCCCTCTTTCTCACTGTGTATCAGCCTATTTAAGAAAAATGATGCAAAATGGAAATCCATCACATTTGTCCAAGCATGCACATATAAAAACCCAGCACAAAAAAAGGCACCCATGAACTCCTCCAAAAAAGGAACACTGACTACTCTGACAGAGATGAAAGGTCTCAATAACAAGATCCACCAGCCAGAACTAAGTAATGATCACTGCAATGTTTCAGTGCTCCACTGTCTTTCTGAAGCACTATCAGTAACAGGTGTTTCAAATCTTTCAATCTTAGCTTTAGGACTCTCAAAAATCCAATAGAAAAGTCACTGCATTCTTCAGCCAGTGAACAAAAAGCTTGCAATACTGCACTTGCAGACAAAGCGTGAATACGTCTCATCAAGACAGCTTGAAGACAGAAACTTCGAAAGCCACAGATAAGAGATAAGCAGTGTCAGGGAAGAATGTACTGCTTTCTCTCATCTCTCAGGGACTAAAATTTAGAAATAAACAGCTTTTCCACTATCTATTTCCCCTTTGAAAACTGCACTAAGCTGTGCAATAATCCTAGCCATGACCTTTTAGTTCTTAAGTGACAACTACCTTCTAGGAAATAGTAGCAAAGAACTCTGCAGCTCTGATCCACTGTGTGAAGAAAGGAAAGCCTGAGCCCAAACAGCATTCATGCTGAGTGCAAATCTACACTACAGTACAAATCTTCACTAACTGGGACAGAAGGAAGAGTGGTACAGTGTAAGAGCTCTTTAGAAGAAATTGTGTGGCAGCTGATGTTATCATAAATAATTCAGCAGTTAAGAATACCGTTAAAACTGACTCTTCAAGTATTCTTAGCCAAACAAACCCCACATCTGGAAGTTTTCTAATGGAGAAGTGACAAGAGACAGTCAAGAACCATTACTTCTCTCAAAAAAATATACAGGTCTTATTAAGAACATAGATGCTACAATATTTGCATAAAGCCGTCTCAGAAAGTGTTCTCCATCTCTTCAAGCTGCACAAAGTAAATCTTTATATTGCCTTCTATAAATAAGTCACCTTAATTAAGCACATATTTCCAAGTTCTGAATAATTAAGATTCTACAGCACTTTAGTACTGGTTATTTACAGCCCTATGTAACAATTCCTATTTTTAAGTGCTCAGGATCCTTCAGTATAGGAAGCAAAGTTTCCAAAAATAGAGATCTGGAAATTTCTGGTTTTAGAACACTTCAAGAATGATACCCCAACTTCAAATTACTGCTATTTATTCCTATGCAATTAAATAGGAATCACAATAAATTGTTTCTGCATAAAAATAAGAAATTTGTAGCTGTTGCATGACAAAATGTCATTCCACTTTCAAGTAGCTCATTTTTCATTCAATAATATTTCTCATAAATCATACTCACTTGTAGCAGAACCAAGGAGATTTTTTGAAGATTTTTCTTCCCCTGTATTGTAATCCAACAGATAATCTATGTATAAGGAAATTATCACAATTAATTTTTATAAAAAAAATTAATCATTATCAAAATTAAGTGTGTCGTGGGCAAAGAAAGGCTTAGGGTTTAACATGTCATTCAACTATGTTGGTTTGACAGTGTGAAAATAAAACAACAGAAATAGAGTTAAAGGTCATAGGTTACATACTGAAACATCAAGCTCCAAGCAATGAGTAATCCAAAGATAAGAAACCCAAAGAGATTCAGGGTTCAAGCTTCAGTTTCCCCAGGATTCATGACATCGATGCAGCAATCAGCTCACTGAGCTTTGTATAGCATTTTTCCTCCTCCTCCTCGTGAGAGCTGGAGGTAGGTGTTTTCATATTTTTTATTTAAACACAAAGTCTGCAAGACAAAATAAGCACCTTCCCAATTGCTTGCAGCATTGTCATACAAAGAATCTCAGGAAACGGGCTATGGTCACTAAGAATAAGGCTTGTTTGTGTGAGCTGCTTTGATTATTTTAGTTATCTTTTATTAGTCAGCACATGAAATATTATTGCCTAGCCTGCCAAGTGAAATAAAGACTTATTACTAGCATTTTAAAGTAACCCTCCACACAGTTACAACACATTGTTTAAACTTAAAAGGATTGTTGGATAAGCCCAGAAATGCTGAAATGCTGTCAAAAAGACTAAGAGTAAATTTAGTAGTTAAATCATTTATCATATGCAGGAAATGGCAAGTCACCAGACTAGCACAAGACACATCTGAATAGCTAAAAATGCAGAAGTTATTTGCTTACCATAATCTTCATCAAAGAGTTCTTGTCGTTCAGACTGATACTGAGAATCAGCTATTTCTTCATACTCTTCAACCATGCTAGTACCAAATACCCTATGAAGAAAGTTTTAACATAAAAATCTAGTATTAGTCTGTTAATCATGTAATTACTTGACTTAATCGATAATTAGATAAGCGATATTAACATTATATATGTGGCAAATAAATTAGATACGCAATAGTTGCCTTCAGTTAACCAAGATCAAGCAGCAGGTATGCTTATTTTCTCAAACACGTATCCACAAAGTCCACTGCATGCTTTTAAGTGCTGCACCAAAACAAGATCCTGTTTTTAATTCTAGTAGTTCCAAAGAGACTTTTCCTCCTTTTGAACTTGAACTCATACCTAGACTTCCTTGTCTTAAGCTCTCCATGAGCTCTTACACCTCCTCTTCAGCTTCACCTCTGACTAACTTTTAAGAGTATCTATTCATGACTACATCATTTTGCATGCTGTGTTCTCTTTATCCTGCTCTGCCAAAATCAAATCAATCCAATGTAAAGCAGTCTTGTCAACTGAAAATATGGTTTGGCTTACAACACTAGAGTTCCCAGGTTCAAAGCCCGACATAACTTTGACTGGAGAATTGAAATTGGTTTTTTAGGAGCAGTACAGAGGCTGATTCTTCTCTGAAGTACATACACACACAGTTGTTCTGATTTAGATATTCCAAGCATTACTAACTGTAGGTACCTGAGGTGCCATGCAACACAGCAGCTTCTCAAAAGCACTCACCACACCTGCTCTTTTAGTTCACCACTTGTTCCTTGTTTTGCTTGGTCAGCCTTGAAATGCTCATGTCCTCCTGTAAGGCTGCTCATGCTCCTGTTTCCTAACACCCCCCCTGCAAATATAAACTATCCCTTACATACTGGAGAATCAAATCAAAAGATTCAAAACTTCTTTAAACAGTTGTGAAGCACACTACACAGCAGGTAAGTTGGCAACTACTTCGATTTACAGTATTTCCAAATAACTTAAAACTGAAAACTAGAATTTGTTGCCCAACTATTATTAAAACACACTACTCACTGCAAGGAGGCAGAAATACAACACAAAACACGTAAGATATTACCTTATAAGACTTAAAGGACAAAAATGTTCCGATCCAAAGTGCGATATCAACTCCACCTAAAGAACAAAACATACTTAAAACAAAACTCCGAAGACCCACAGTCAAGAGTTCATTTAGCATACTCATTCAATCTTGAAACTGCAAGTTTTCTTTACTCAAGGGATTTGTAGATTGCCCGTAACAGAAAAGACTGAAAGATTTGTTCTTGCCATGCATTAAAGTGCTGAGTCACAGTAGAGAACACCCCAAGCCCCATGCATTCATCATTCCAAAAGAAGAGGTTGCTAACCTTTATGTACTTGATGAACATCTGAAGCAAGAGAAAGGAGAAGAGAAAAAAAAAAAAAAAAAAAAAAAAAAAAAGATGTCAGTACAAAGGCTGAACACATGCCACAGGCAACTACAGAGTTTTGCTGTTTTTAATTCAGTACTATAAATGCCTAAGATGACAAGTTATGAAGGATAAAGTTGCAATACTACTTCATCTGCCTTAGGTAGCAAGATTTCATTTAGACCTCATACCTTGCAGATAGCAAGTAACATGCAACAAGTGTTTTATTAATAAACTTAACAGATTACTCAATTTTTCTAGGCAGCATGATTGCAGACAGAATACTGAAGTGTGTTAAGTTTACTAAGTGTATGTTTTCCCTTAAAGAGCACAGATTACAGAAAGAGACTCAAAAAGAAAAAACACTTCATAGCATGCATTCTATGTACTGCTGCTGCTTCAAGTTGAATATAACATGCTTCAATTTATAGAAACACTACTGGAAGAAAACATATGCAGCATCTGATAATACACGTGGAAGCTTCAGTCATCAGTGATTTTTTTCTAGCAAGAACTTGACTACACACTGTTATTTATTTAATCTGAATTTATTTGCAAGTGTAGAATGCATTTATTAAACCACTATGTAGACACTACCAATTAAGAACTGTAATAATCTGCAAGCGAGATCAAGATAACTATTCCCATAAAAGCACTCTTACAAAAAAATTTTCCATTATTTTTTATACAAGTTCATTAAGCCACTTCAAAAAACCAAATTTTTAAAAAAATTTTTTTGCTCTTCTTCTGTAGACTAGGCACATTGAGAAATTGCTTACAACTTGTGCTACAAAGTAAAAATATGACAAGAACAGTCCTTTGAAAATTTTACCATGCTACATTATTCAAGGCAGAACACTGTATCCACCAAGGGATTAAGTGCTGAAGCATCTAGCGTAATTCTGGAAGTTCAGTGACAATCAAGATTCCAGCTACCTTAAGGCATTAATTCAGCCAGAAAGCAGAATTAAAAATAAATGAAATCCTTATCCCGTGACTCACACAGAATTTCTGGGTAGAGAAGTTAGATAACCATCATTCATAGCTACTTCTTCATGAAAGCACAAATCATAATTCAGCACAAACAAAAAAATGGTTTTTTGAAAGCACCATAATTGGAAGATAACACATCACTGGAGAGGACCTAAAAGTCTGTATTTTAATTTAAACCTCCACTACATCCCAGTATTTTCACAAAAGCTTTTATCCCAGTCCAAGTACTACATTATTGATGGAGTTTTATTCTCTTTGAGTCTCCTGAGTAAATACAGCTTGCTGCAAGTTATTTTCAAGGCAAAGATATCATGACAAGCGCTCAAGTAGCAGTAAGCCTAAATAATTTGCGTAAGTCACAGTTATGATTGATTAACTGCAAAACTACACTTCCAGTCTATTAATGAGAATCACAACTCAAATGCTTACTCTTCCAGATTCACTATAAACTGTATAGGTGAACACAGAATACACATATTCTAATCTGTGCTCCAGGGCGAGAGAGAGAGTGTGTATGTATATATATAAAGCAGGTACAGCCAAGAGACAAAATTGGTTGATACTTCTAATGTAACATTCAGGAAACAGTTGGTTAAGTCAAATAGAATAGAACAGTCTGGATTTTCCTTAATTCAGGTAGCAACTAAGTACGTACTTGGACACAAGGTAACAGGTGCTTCCCAGGATCCTCTCAGGGATCATTATGAGGAAGGTAATATACTTGCAACTGTGTGCCTACGGTTTAATACATGGCCAATCACACTAGGACCACTAATGAAACTAGTGCAATTAAAGGTAAAGCATGCTTCAATAACATGCTTCTCTGGATGCTGTTACACAGTGTAAGCCCAGCAAACCCTTCCTTTCCTGAGAAGCATGGATGCTTTTGCAGTGTTGAGTTACCTTAACATATTTTGCATACATCTGTTCATCCAGAGGAAAGCTTTGGACATTTCTCTCATCTCTGGCGTGGAAAGTACCTAATTTAATCCACTTGTTCGTTGGATACCTAGAAAAGAAACAATGGAGTCAACAAATGAAATGCAAGAACCCACTGTTTACAGACATTTGCTGGAGTTTCTCAAAACGCCTTTTCACAGAAAAAAATACCTTTCTTTTTTCAATTGCAATATAGTGGCAATGTGCTTTTTATGGAAAGAAGAGTTGCAAGATAAGGCTAGTCCCAACACAAAACCTCAGCAGTACCTCTTCACAGACCTGAAACAGTGTGCAAGTCCTTGAAGGATGAACCCCAAAACCCGATCCGTTTACTGAAATTCAACTAGCCTACAGTAAAGTTTCTGGAACCAAAAAAGTAATCTCAGATGAACACTGAAGAACATAACACAAGTGACAGGTTGTAAATATTATTGTAAGCAAGCAGCAAAAAAACTGTGAGCAAAGTAGAGTTAGAAATAGGCAACAGAAGTGTGGAAAATTAGAATCCACATGCTTTGAGCACTGAAGAAGTGAGGTTTTTTGATACACTGTGCAAATGCCTCCTCTTTCACATACCAGAACAATCTGCTCACTCCCAAAAGTACTGGGGGTACAACATTGCCTAAAACACAATAAAGCCACCCTTTAATCAGCCATTCGGCCAACCAGTAGTATTCTTACCCCTTCCCACTTCCTCAGTAGTGTACTTTTTTTTTTTTTTAAATCGTTTGTGGGTTTTTTGGACAGGGTTCAGCATTGAAGACAATTTAAACCACGTGAAAAGGGTCTGAATGACAAGGGAGGAGACAGCCAACAACTCCAGTTGCATTCTGTTAAGGCATGTTCATTTTATGATTGCCATCCACTGTCTAGCTACTGTATAATTTCTACTGCTTCATTGCTACTTCTCAAATTTTTCCTTTTTGTTTTCAAGGTGGCAAAGAAAAAAATACAGGAAGCATAGAAAGTACTCAAACCATGTATTCTAGGACCTCACCGTTTCCTTTCCATGGAAAAAGATGCTAGTAACTGATAATATACACAAAGAAAAAATCTATGTAATTTCACAATGAATTACACCTTGCATAGTAACAGGCATACAGAGATCATGTTTTACGAAGCCATCCACCTAATTATTTCATTTTTCATTCAGAAGGGCAGGTTTTGATAACATACCTGTCACTAATAGACACCAGAAAGTCTTTAGGAGTGGAAGAGAATAATTCATGATTTGCAATATCAAGCTGCTTTACTTGGACTGGTTCACAGAGCTCAATAACAAACCTTGAGGATAAAAAGGAAATAATTAAGCAAAGCACTTTGCCTTCCACAATTACAATCCTCAGACCTCTACTTTGTTACTGCATCCTTCACTATGTATAAAAAGAACACTACAAAAATGCCATACAACAAGGAGGAATCACTTGTTGCTCCCTTCAAAAATCGCTAGGGACACTTACCTGCAGATCTAGCTTATAACTCTAGCTAGCACCTTCTAGCTACAAAAGCTTCATCCCCCTTGTACTCAAAGCCAAAAAGTCACAGAACTAAAAACTAACGATAGCAAACATCATTTAAACCACACATGAAATACCAGTTAGTACATGGTAAATGCCAATCATGTGTCCTACAATTATTTGACAGCTGGGGAAAGAAACAAAAATCTTTACTTGAACACTCAGTGCTTTCTCTTCTGCAAGATTATAATTATGCAAACCCTACAAATACTAAAGTGTATAAAGTTATCCCCTTAAACTTACTTCTCAATACCAGACACAGAATTCTACAGGGGACGCAATAAACTGTCTATCACTAAATCTGTCACAGTTCCTTACGCACGTTTCAGGCAGACACACCAAGGTCAAGTCAGTCCCACAGGATACATACAGTCCCATCGTGACAGAAAACTATAGCCACTCCTATCGTACAAGCAAACCTCAATAACCTACCAGATTTTAGTACTGCAAGGATTTAGCATATAAAGGTCCATGTTTTCCATCAAAATAGCTGAAGTGCTCTGTATAAAGAAGAGAATTGGTATTTTAAATTGTATGGTAGATAACTAATGCAGCACCAAGGGCTTTCCCCCCCCCCCCTCCAAAAAATAAGTTCGATATTAGTTACATAGACAAATACCAAGTTTCATAACATTCTAAGCAAGATAATATATAGGAGACAGCATGCCATACCACTTCTGGGCAATCTACTACAATGAGCTACTTAATACAACTTTGTTCAATTTCTGTACTGAGTAGACTCTGCTCACCCTTCCAAATTAATTTGAAGACAAATTTCTCGATAACAATCTCTCTTAAAACAAGGGACATATCATTGTTTATGTTCAATTTTTGTAAAACAAAAATCACAATAAACCCAAACACAAAAATAAAAGATTACTTCAGAAATCAGTGTTCAGTTTTAAATTAGTGTACTTTGTACTACTACTTGCATAAGAGTAAACTGAAATAATGCACACTAATTATTAGTAAATGCTTACCTTCGCCTCTGGATTCGCTGCCAGAATTTTGGCACCGCACTCTACAGAGGCATAGTTATTTCTATTTTTCTGGACCTTTTTTGTGGAATGCTGTCCACCAACAGCAGAAGGGTGCATTGACTGACCTAGGAACAAGAAAATATTGCTACTATAACAAACCACACAAACAGTCTTGTCACTTTCGGGGAACTGCAGCTCACTGCTTTTATATAATAAATGCTATCAATTATGTAGTTCTAGTAGAAAAATGAAGTTCCAGGCTGCATTCCAAATTCAGTTTCACTATTCAAGTTTGAGCCAAGATGAAAGTGGTCTGTATTTAGACCAAACCCATGAATCCTGAACTTACTCTTTTCTTTCTCCACTTCCATGACTTTCTTCTTCCATTCATCAAATGTTGGAATGTCTCCGGGGTCCTTTGGAGTTATCACCGATGTAGGGTCAATTTCTCCTGTTTTCTTATAGTCTTTCTGCAAAAGGAAGAGCCACCGATTGTGAATATTTTTCAGCATCAACAATGAAAACAAAAATGAATTGACTAGCTTGCATTTGACTAAATGACCTCTAAAGGTCCCTTCCAACCCAAAACATTCTATGATTCTGATCCAGAATGCTTAAAAAAAGCATGCTCTCATTAAGTCAACAGCAGATACATCATTTACATCTATGTTAAAAACTTAGTGCCAAGGTACAAGGTAAGCTCACAAGCCAAACAACATGTAATCATTTCCTCCCAGAATTATAGATTCTTTCACTGAGATGTTGGTAATTTTGTGGCTAAACTAATACATTTTAAGTAAAACATAAGTATTCTGTCTCATAAAATGTCTGCTTTTTCTTCAAGTTTTTTGCTTCTCCTCCTCCTAAGGAGAAAAGGGTTCCCTTGTAGCAGAAATCTTCAAATATGAATGCTGATCATGACAGAATTCCAGAGGTCCCCTGGAGTTTCTGAACACCTCAGAGTTTAATGGTTTTTTGTTTAATGTTTAATGATCAAAATAATAATGTTTTGGACTTGCCTGACAAAGCAGTAACCCTTTTAAGTTAACCATATGCTGTACCATTTCAAGTCTTGACTTCTCTTTTGTACAAACAAATTTCCAGCACATCACCAGATGTGTGAAAAGCTTCTGCTAGACATATCAAGTGTAGGGGTTATTTTGTAGACAACTTTTTTTACAGGTAGTTTCCAGAATGACTACTTCATAGGTTGACATTTTCTCTGCACTTAAAGCACAAATTATTTCACATATAGTTCTATAGCTGAAAGTCCTCAAAAAAGAGCCAAACCCACATACCTGGACAAAAGTGGCAACAGAATTTTTCACATGACTACACTGCAACAAAACTTTAGATTTGGCATACCCAAAAATACAACCCCACATATTTTTAGAAATGAGAAGACCTAAAAAAACCCTGTAGCTTACTCTCCCAAGAAAGTTCAAGATATAAGATCCTCCTTGGACTATGATGGAAGTGGTACACCAAAAACCTGACTGAGTAAGCAATGCCAAATCATGCTCTTGCTTAACTACGACATCAGGCCAATGCCACAATTATTTAAATTGCAGTCTTTAAAGCATTAGCTTAAATAAAGAAAACCTTGGCTTTTTTTTAATAATCATTTGTTACAATTTGTTTGTAGTAAGTTCTTTAGAAGACTCTTTCCTGACTGCATGTAATTATTTTAAGGCACACTGTACACTGTTCAATCATCTTGGGAAAAAACTTCTTAGTTTGAAAGAGAGTCACACAAGTTATTAGTGACAGTTTAAATGTGATCCCAAAATAGTAAAAAATGGTATTGCCAAGGCCTTGGTCGTTCGTGACCTATTTAAAAAACATATGCTTTAGGACGGCAGTGTTAGGTTAACGGTTGGACTTGATGATCTTAAAGGTCTTTTCCAACCTAGATGATTCTATGATAAGTGTGTCACAGTAAGCACATAAAAGCAGTCACAAAGTTAGTGTAAAAACGTAAGATACCTGTCTAGCTAACTATCCCAACTTTAACAGTGACCAAATAAGATACGTAGGAAAGACTAAAAACCGCACCAAACATTTTGTATTTCCTCCAAGTGTCATCTTTGCCTCTAGCCACCTGCTTGCTACTCAGGAACTTCCTGACAGTCAAGATTCAACCCTCAGGTTTCTCTCCTACAAGCTTACCTGGACTGCACAATGCCACACCCATCCCCTTCCCCCCCCCGCCTTTCTTTTTTTTAAACCCATGTAAAAAAAATTCAGCATCCACAGCATCCTGCATGAAGTCCCAGCTTAACTATCTGTTACATGAAGAACATTTCTTCTGGATTCTGCTCCAAATACTTTTGTTTTATGTTATTTCCCAAGTATTTGAATAGACTTAGCTCAGGAAAACTGTTCTGCACCAATGAATCAACCTTGCTGCACTTTTCTTCTAGTTTATTATACCCTATTGATATGGCAATACCAGAACTGCACACAGTGCTCAAAATGTGAGGGCTGTGCATTTATACAGTGTCAATCAGAAAAATGATGGATATCACTCATCCGTAACAAAAGTGATAACCTAGCAGAGGTCGTTATGCTCTTGTGTGTACCAGGTGGATATCAGCACTGCTTACCTCCCTTTTTAAGTTCTCTGAGGCATTCAGAGCAGGTTTTTGCTCATCTGCCCCCTTTTCAGCTGCTGAAACTTTCGACTCAAACTCAGATTTTGTCTTCTTTCCCTTGCCATGTGAAGATGATATGTTCTCTATATGTTGACCTGCAAGGCTGAAAGTTTTAAGAGTATTAGGAACAAATAAAACAATCACATTTTCAACCATATGCAATCTTAAACACACACACACACACACAAATGTAGATAAGCAAGCACATGCAAATGTTTGTTGCAAGGCCAGGGCAGAAAAGAACAATTGCCTTTAAATTATTCAGACTCACAACCTACTTCAATACTCACCTCTCTGGTGGACTGACAAAAGAGGAAGGCTCACTCTGAGGGTCAGCCTCAAGTGTCCCACCAATATCACAGTCAGGTTCTGACTGCTCAGCTTCACTAGAGCTGACTACAGGGATATCAGCACGGGAATTTTCTATTGCACTGAAGGGAAAGAAATAACATGCTTTTTACCCTTCTGAATAACACAAGTAACCCTGCTAATCAACCACATAACTAAAGATATTTGAAAGTTTAAAAAAAAAAAAAAAATCAAGTCTCACAGAAATAATTAAGAGGAATAAAGTATGCTACACTTGTGGAACTGCATTCTCAGCTGTACCCATGCAAGAACAGAACTTCCTTTTCCAGCTTGTTTGTCCCAGCACAAACTCAGAGCTAGCTTCTCATCTTCCAGAACTCTCAAACATCTTACCAAACACTGCAATGGATAATTTTTCCCATCATCGCTACAAACTAAGAACAGCTTCACAGTTACCTGACTGCCAGCAATTTTATTTTCCCTTTCAACAAAGGAATCAAACATGAGACTGAGTTCCATCACTAAAAGCTCCTAATGTTTCCAAGTCAATGGACAGCAGTCAGAACTTGGCTGAAACTAGAGGAGAAAAGGGATGGCATAACAATATATAGGTAGAGCCAACCAGACTTCCTTTCCACTACATTTTTTTGCTAGTGTAATAAAAATGAGGTAAGCCAGCAGACCATTATCCAAGCTGCATAAACAGCCTGAACTAACTAATCTGCCTGCTGCTTTACTTCCCCTCTCCCAAGAGGACTGTACACACTGCATGAGACAAATCCTAAAGCAAAAAGTGAAAAGAAAGCCTCCCTATACGCTTCTTGGAATGTTAGAATGGGAGGGGAGAAGATGGAAAATAATCACTTCTGTGACTTTCCTCCCTTCTCCAGTACAGGGATGACTTTCATATTGATCTAGAAGGTTATAAGCTAGATTTAAGTAAAATTCTTTATTCTGTCTCCTAAACTTGAACATAAGCTTTTTTCAACATCAGCAGCTAACTAGGTTGATCCAATATCATGATATAAGAGCTGCAAAAACACGAACAGCACATCAGCAACTTAAAAGGGGATCTTTTTGGTTCTCCGACTGCTACAATCATCAACAGAAATAGCTGTAACAAACACAGGGAGCCAATTTTAGTACCTTTCATACAATAAAGTTCCCACAGTATAAACCAAAAAACTCAAAGGTATTGAAGACTTTTTGCTATGTAGCAAAATCTAATAAACACTAAGAATACAAGAATTTATTCACTACAAACAGGGAGTAGTTTCTCTGAACACCCCAAAACACACACATGTCTGAGATGCACACAGTTCAGCTCTTCATGTAAGACTTTAATGACTGAAGTAAGGCTGACCACTACACTGAAAATTAAAAAGCTCCACATATTCTTGATCTCAGTGAATAGAGGACAGTATGAGCAATTATCAACTGAATAAAATATGGGATGAGTATGAACTTAAAAATACCCTGATATCAGGGTGTACCTGACTGGCCTCAAGTAACTAATTCTGTCAGGTGAGTAGCACAAGCCTAAAAGCTGTAGCAGTCCCTCTCCTTTGGGTACTTTCATTTGTTACTAGCTTTGCCTTAATTTTCCAAGTTCATTACCAAGCTCACTCTGCATGGCAGCTGTCTTTACTTGCAGCCAGAAAAGGAGCTTAGATTATTTTTCAAGAAGTTTTCCCCAGATTAGGTCTGGATAGAAGAGCTACAATCAATGCTGTCCTAAAAAAGATTAATTACAAAAATAGTTTGGAATAAAATTACTTCCAGAATATTTTGACTAAGAGGTCTTCCTGGAATATCAGACCAGTAACACCAAAGGGAGCTGGAATTTGTTACACCAATGAGAATCAGCATCTAAAACAGGAAAAAAAAAAAAGATGTCTAAAGCTAACAAATGCAACTGAGTCTTTTTAAAGATCTTGTTTAACTATGGAGTTGGACTACAGCTGTTTTGGATATCAGAGTTAATGTGCACAAAAAAAGACCACTTATTACTATTTAAAGCTAAACTGAAGTTTGAAATAATGTATAAATACACATCTCACCTATACTTATTCTACCATTTCTTCCTGTAAATAGTACTAGTGTCAGAACTACCGCCAAGAATTAACTAATATCAGGTGTTCCAAAACAAGTTTCCATTTTCCTTTGTTTCATAGTTCAAGTCTTCAGAGTTCATCACACTAGTATTCCCCAACTATGACAGCAGGACTATTTTCAACAATTACAAGATACCAAGCTGAATGTTCAAAAGAAAATAAGAACCTGAATCTCTGTCTAAGACCTGACAGCAGTAGGACTTAATGTGTTACACAAATCAGTACAGTAGTCAACAAAAGCTGAAACTTTCCTGAAAAGGAAACGTGCTGAAATTACACTCCAGTTTTGCTTTATAAAAGCTGTGAATTTGGGAAGCTTGATTTTCAAGTACCAAAAGGTGCTTAAGAATTAGCCCTAGCAGACTAGACAAGATCAGTCAGCAGACAAGATTTCCAGATCTTTTCTATAGTAAAGAAACTAAATTTAATAATTCAGAAAAAATGCATTCTTAAAAAAAAAAAACCACCAAAGAATAAAAATAGACTTCTCTTGGGGTATTAGATTTTTATCTACTGAAATGCTAGATCTTTATCAGTAGACAATCAGAAGACTGTATTTCCCTTAGCATACATTAAAAAGCCCAGGAAAACCTTGTGAAAGTACCTATAAGTATATACACATGAATTCCCATATTACAGTTCACAATTGATAGCACAGCATTCCACAAAAAAAGGTTAACAAAATTAAGCACATCAACTCTCGAAGACTGCCTGCAATATACTACTAAGTACCAGAATCACCAACTGTCTTGGTTGCGTTTATGCTAAAATTTGCTATTTCATCAGAAGTCTCTTAATAGCAGAACTTATTTAAAACTGATCTGGTTGCAAGTCCTAGAGTAAAATCCTGCAAAGTTCATCCTTTAATGAAAGCAGAGGCCATCACTGAAGCAGCCTTGATGCTTGTTATCACAGATGTGAAAGCACATTTGTGAAGGGCAGAAATACTAATGGTTAAGACCTGAGGGCTTTTACAGTACGGATTATCTAGCACATAAAAGACACTGGATTTTTTTCTGTCAAAGCAGCATCTTAGAAACTGATAATGGCAATGCTATGACACTTCAGGCAAGTACACAACTCTTAATCCGCACACTAAGTGATGGCATATTCCATTAGCACTGACACCATAAACCAAGTATAACAAAAGAATGATGCGTGGCAGTCTAGTCTTATCCCTGCTAAACCTGAAGAGGTAACCCTTTTAGCATCAGAGTAAGTGATACTGTCTCAAAGACAGAACAATAAAATAAAAAAGCTTACTCAGGCTGCGAGACCGGAGGTATCTCTGAGGTAGGTGAACTGGAAATGTTTTCAGTGCTTGCAACTATGCTAGACGAAGCTTCGTTTAAATCTACTGAAGGTGGAGTCTCAACTTCAGGCTGGCTTGCTTCACTTATTTCTGTAGTCTGTGAAAACATTACGGATGAACATACATTTTTCAAAACTTTAACAGGAAAAGCATTCATACAGTAACATCTAGTATGGAGTTTTAACAGTTCAGTAGTTTAGATTTCTGTCATCAGTGAACCTGAAAACCAGACAGCAAGACAGTTAAGAAATAAATTTTCTTTCTTCATAAACCTAGGTGGTATTCACTGCCACCCTGGGGTAGTCACAACACTCTTCCATAGTCTGCAATAATAATGTAAAAATACTAATTGAAAGAGGCATGTGCAATAGCTTCCTCAACCACACATCTCTTTATAGAGACACCCACAAGAAAACAAGCTTTAATGTTTCAACAATTGAAATAAACAGTTCTATTTGCATGCTCCATTATAATAAAATGTACATTCATTATTTTCATCCTAAGCTTAATTTTAGGGAAAGCTTTCAATTTTATCACTGCAATGGAGGTCCAAAATTATTTGTAAGTCTATTCCATGTTGTAACTGAACAAAGATAAATTGCTTATCACTTCCGAGAGTCTAGTAGTCTTATTTATTCTGGTTCTTTGGTTTCACAAGCCATCACACAGCATAATCAAAATAAGGATTTCTGAATCTGGAAGAGTACATAACCACTGAAACAGGTCAGATTAACTCTCGCAGCAATAGTATTAAACAATGCTAAATACTATTAATACTATTAAACAAGAGCGTCTTGTCAATAGCTGGATTAGTCCAAGTCATCTAACTGAACATGAAGAGGTCTAGCATGTTTTACTATGGAATTACAGATCTAAACCACATAATATATATTCAGAAGTATGTCAAACATATGTTGTTTGGTAATCTACAGAACCCAAAAATACATATCAAATAAATAATCTGTAACAGTGGGCTTTTTAACATTTCACATGCACTCACTTAATGTTATCAATGGCAAAGGAAATGAAACTGACAGAAGCCAGGAAGGATCAAAGCTAAAATGGACTGCTACAATCACCAAGTCTTATCTATATAAAAGGCCTCAGTGGAAAGTTTTTTTAGGTTTTATTTATAAATAGAAATCCATACCTATAACATCGAATTTTAATTTATCTTGGAAATATTTATTTAGTCAGTACCCACAAATATTAAATTAGTCTTCTTATTACTTATGCACATGGGAAATGCAAGATCTGTTACCTCACGTTTTCTCCTTCATCAGAAACATAAGCCTAACAGCAACCCTATGTGAAATGCGATAGATGGTTACTATGAGCTTTAGATAATGAAAACAAAAGACACTGAAATCCAAGAAGCTTTTGAAGACTGTATGGAGACAGCAAAAGAAATTAAAGTCTTGCCTGGTCAGATTTTTTGAAGTTGTCGAGTAGCTCTTCAGTAGAGTAACTCCATGTATTTGAGTCTGAATGCTCAGACTCCAGTCTGGGACCAGCCTCTTCCCTCTAGTATATTAAAGATAAAACAACAGTAATTATGCAGTAACACAGGACTATTTTAGTAGAGGAGTTACCTTTGGTACAGACTTTGAATAATACTACCTTTCCAACCACCAAAATATCAACGAGGAGTTAAGGTACATGAATCTTCAGAGCCACTGCCCACATATATTTAAAATCTTATCTGTACAAAGACCACAGCAAGACCATTCATTTAAATCTTCACATGAAAGACCATTTTAGTATTGTCTTAAATTGTTCAGTTTGCGTGCTAAGGAAAGTTAACCATTCTGCTGTGACTTCCCATGTTGACAAATCCTCCTATCTCTGTGCTGCCCAAAATGGGGGGGGGGGATCCTAAAAAGACTTGCAACAGACCATTAAAAAAACCAGTAATCGGCATGATTCACTTACAGCAGTCTCATTGGCAGAACCAGTCTCATCTGCTGTAACCTTTTAAAGCAACTTTCTCTTTTACAACTAAAGATTTACAATCAAGTGCAGTGAATTTACAAAGTGAAAAAAATAGACTTGAGGAAAAAAAGTTTTGAAACCACCAGACTGTAGAATTAACAAGAATTTACTTGCCCCTCATTTTTTTTTTAAACTTGTAACTACAACACATGCAAGTTATTTTTGAGCACTTTACAATAAAGCAAGAAATCAGGTAGAAATTTACACCCCCCTTGTTTTGTAAGGGCTATCTAAAATCCCGTGGTCAAACACTGGAAATGCTAGCGTTCAGGTCCAAAATGGACTGCTGTGCTACACAAGATTACATGATCATATTAATTTGAGAGAATGAAGGCACACACTGGAAGAGCAGGAAGTACAAATTTGAGCAGGCGAATCTTAAAAGACAACAGCTAAGCAACATTTTCCCCCAAATATTATTAGCTCACATCCTAGTCCCTAAGATTAAATAGCATCAATGCCTCGAAGGGACATCTGATGTAAGGAAAAGTGATCAAGGGCTGCAAGACTGCTCTTTTTGAGCATAACATCACCAGCAGCCTAGTTAGGAGTAATAGCTACATGCTTAAGATTTCTCATACACCCAAGATATTTTTCTTTAATGAGTAAAAAGTATGGCATACTTCACATCTTTGGTTTTAAGTTGAGCAATCTGCTTAACAATGCAACAGTGCAACTAGAATGAAGGGAAGAATGCCGCAAAAGAGTAAAAAAAAACATACACCGGTGGCTCCTCAGCCTCAAAGCTTACTTAATCTTTCCAGTTTTGTTACATCAACCATTAAACTTGCACAGGACTTTTTTCAGGCAGCCAAAGAATAGGAATGAATGCTATTTGGCTGCACAAGCTGGCAAAAAATACAGCTACCCTAGCCATTGAAATGCTTAAGAAACCTACAATATTTAATGGTTGGGTTTTGGTTTTTTGGGTTTTTTTTCTGGTCAGCCAGCTCTTCACTCAACTAGAATGCTCAACACACATTTTTCCAGGTTTGATGTGGCACCTAAAAGTTTTCTTGGAGTGAGGACCACGATTAGCACTACTGCTGACTGATGGAGGCAATGGGAAGACTAGTAACATCAATAGTACCATGCTTATCACAGGACTGATTCTCTACCTGTGTAAATAAATAAATGAAATTACAGTGACTTTCTGATATAACTCAACTGCTTGGGAACTCACTATAAAATTGCAATATGCAGAAACTTGTAATGAGCTAATCCGGGTGGGATAATTACACTCACTAACCTAAAGTGCCGAGTAATATAAATATGAAATGGTGAGAATCTTGTTTATTAGCATTTCACATGTGTATCTTAGCTTTGTTAATTTTTATCAAATAGGAAGAAAACAAACTGATAGACACTGACTTAATAAAACAATCTTAAATCTTCTATTTAGGATAGCAATCATTTGTGCACTATATTTTTAACACAACACAGATGCAACCGGCATACCGTGGCCTAGACTTATCCAGGCCATCACCTCTTATCGTGGTCTCTACAGAGCCACATACTATCCCTGATGACCGCTTCTTGTAACATCTTGCACCCAAATAAAAAAACCTGAGCCACCATTACTAGGTTTATTATTTGTTCCCCCGCCTCTGAAAACTGTCCAGCTGTATGTCTCAGAATAGTAACAAACTTGAAGTAAAGGAAAACAAAAACTTGGGAAGGTAACATCATGGTTCACAGAATGACTGAGTACATTAAACATTCCGGCCAAGAAGACTATGAATCAAGGTGTATGAATCAATTTTTTATTTAATATCAAGTCAGACTTAGCAGCTAATTAACATAATTTATTCAGCATACCTTTTCCTGGACATTTTCATCATCATTTGCCAGGGCACAAGCATCACCTGAAGCATATTGCACTGCTGATGAAAGACTGTCTTTACAAAAAACATGCCAAATAGGAAGCCTATTTAAAAAAAGAGAAAAAGAACGTCAAAGTCTTGATTTAAAATGAAAAAACAATATTTTAAAATTCCCTCAGCATCGTCTCCCTCAACCTTTTTTCAGTTGTTCCCATGAGGTGCCTAAAAAATAAAAATATACATGTGCAGTTAATTCATCAAAACTATTGGAGGACTTGACTATAACAGGAAACACATTACAAATTTACTACTTCCACAAGACAAAAGTATCAGCAAAACGGTTATTGGGGTGATACCACATCACAAAGTGGAAGCTGACACAAACTAGTTAAGCCACTGCAAGTTAGAAAGAATTTGAATCAACTATATCCTTCGTCATATAGTAATGGGCTATCTTTAGCAATGATTATTACTAAGCAAAAACTGAAGCCACAGATTAAAAAAACAATTAAGCTCCTTATTTCCCTGTACAGATCATACCTGAGAAAATTCTGTATGGTCAGCATCATCACGCACATTTAAGAGAATTAGAGAAAATAAGTATATTAAACAAAAGGCCCATGCAAAAACCAATGAAAATGTAGAGACAAATGGCAAACCAGGTGCTGGCTTTAGCTAAAACCTCCATAGAGATTTGTTTTGTGCTTTCAGTCCTGAACAATTTTGCTTCTCAGTAGAAAAGGATTTATTTCTGTAGGAAAACAGCCAACGTATATAGGAACACTTGCATTAGAACAGAATCTTTTGTTTCTTATAGTGCGTGGCCCCTTCACACCCTAGATAACATCTGTACAGCAAACCACTAGGCTTGGAGGCCCAAAGGTCTTCATGCAGACTTGAGTAAGTCCAGCAAAATGCTATACAAATTGAACTGTTAGTGGAGTTTTAAACTATAATTTAACATCAGAGTCACCTGCCACTTTAAAGACAAACACTTTTCCAGGAAATACTGTTTACATGACAGCCAGGTGATCATTATGACCCTGTGTGGATTCACACAAACAAACATCACTCTGCACCCTGAGAAAAGGGCCTCATCCTCCTAAGAGGAGACAGGTCTATAGCAGATCCTTTAAGCATACAAGAAATCTGGATACAGCAACCTGCTTGACATAAGTTTTGAAAACTAAAACATAGCCTTAACAGGCAGTCATAACCGTAATAATATTAGGTCAGAGTTTGCTTACACAACTGGGATCAGTCTAGTGTTTAGAATTTGAATTACCACCTGTCTTAAAAACTTGAAGATCACCTTTATTGGAAAATATACAGCGTAGGTTCCTCCACTGAGAAGGAAGCCATGCCACATCAGATCACAGTCAGGCACTAAATTTTAAAAACAGTTCCATACATATACCTATACACACACAAATACATACATACCTATACACACAGAGGGAGCACTAATTCTCCAAGTTGCAGGCAATCACAAAATTGGGCTTTTGTTGTAGAGCTATAAACCTATTGCTCCTCTTCCACCCACGCCAGCAGGGTGGGTTAGCAAGGCACTAGCCACTCCAAATCCAGGTCTCTTACCACCACCAAGAACAGCGGATGAGGAACTTGTGGGATCTGACATACTTATCCTGGAGGTGGACAAATAAGGTGTCCCAGGTCTGCCTTAGCCTCACCGCACCTCAGTAATTTCTCTTATCTTTGAGGTAAAAGTTTTCCTCTAAACTAAACAGAAGCCCTCCAGTCAAGCAGCAGCAGCTGCAGTTAAACTGGAAACAAAAGCACTGAATATAAGGGTATGAAATCACTTAGACCCACATATTGCAGTGGCTACAAAGCCTCACATCTGTTAAGTTGAAAATTAGATGTATGCATTCTCACAGGTCTTAAGATTCCCATCCCATCATTTAGTTACTTGTTTGTATTGTTTTCCACTGAATCTCTCTCTTATCCTAAGCACAGGATGTACGTTTAAGGGGTGAAATGAAATGTCACCAGACTTTTACAGCCTTACTTCTTAGCTCTCACTTGGAAAAACTAGCGACACAAATACTTAGAGCTATTTATTTTTCTGAAGAGTGTTTTCAAATCATTTCATGGAGATATTTTCTCATCCTCTTAATTCCAGTACCTCTGGTCTCTCCTTCCAGCTATGACTCCCTGGTTCTTCACAAAAATACAAGAGAAAGATAAAAACTATACAGAACCTACTGTAGCACATTCCACCCCTTTATTACAAATGCACATAAATATGTTATTTCCCATTTTGCTTACACTAAGGGGGGAATCTTCAGTGAGCCGTACAGAGCAACATTAAGTCCCTTAATGTAGAAAAGGAAAGATATCATTGACTGTAAATCAGCATTTTAAAACACAAGGTGTATTTTCATAACCGCATTAATAACTACTTTAGCACTTGCAGTCACGAAAAGCACTTAACACAAAAGGCATACATTTCTTGCCTTGATATATTGATACTTTTAATGCAACAAACCATGCTTTATTAGAGCATGAATGCAGCTTTTAGAAGAATGTAGTTTGCTAGCTCACAGATTTAAGCTATTCTGACATAATCTGTGTCCGATATCAGATTTGCTCATTTTCAGAAATTCTTCTCAGTCTACTCCCTTACTCGAACATGATGCCTCAAATCTCCCAAGAGCCCTCTAAGCAAGGGAGGGGAACTGAGACTTCATTTTGCATATGCATGTACCCACAGAAAAACCTCAGCCCTGCTGCAGCAGAGGATGCAGCAAGCAGGGTACACCATTCAACTGCTGCCATCAAGCTCTGACAGAGCATTAAGAACACAAATCCACAGAATGCAAGGCCACGTGAGGCCAGCCATTCTATGAGAAGTCAAATTAATTACCTTATCAGGACCACCACTACCCTTCTTTTCTTGTCTTTCTGCATTCTGCATATTCATTTAACAGGCTTCTTTAGCTACAGGCTGATAAATTATATAGTCCATAATAAAAAAAATTGCCAAATGGCATAGCACCTCTGTTAAGCGTCTCTCTGTATGCAGAAAGACAACAAACGTTAAAAACTAAGTGTTCATTTACCGAGAACAGAATTCCCTTTGAGTTTAGTAAACTTGCACAGTACATCCAGTGAAAGCACAGCAGCTTCTGCATCCTTTCCTTTCTCACGACAAGAGCGTACTATTTTAATGCCAACTTGAAAGCAAGCAGACCTAATGCCCAAACAGTACTGGAGATTAGTCACTAGATGTACTGTCTCAGGTACAAGATATATCTTCAAATGACCTAACATTGTAGAAATACTTCAAGAGATTGTTCCAGTTAGTGACTTACATCGATGCAGAAGTTTTCAATAGTTCCATTTTTACTAAGCATGACTCAAAATAGCAGCTGCTATTAAATCTCATAAAGAACAAAGAAACTTAAGTATGAGTCTTTCAGTATCATCATTAATGTAGTTTAGAAGCTATTTTCTCTAATATGCCATGATTTTTTCAGCTTGATATGCACAAACCCAAAAGCAAAAGGTGCAAGCCCAGGCACAGAAAGGGCGGGGGAAAGGAATCTTTACTCTTCACAGGGCAGGCACATGCTGCTGTTCTCTACTGAGGCAGAAAGTCTGCTCACCCCTATCTGAATGGTACGGTACCCTTATTGCTATATGAATTGGCTGTGGTCTACTGATGGCTGTTAGCCTTTTGAAAAGGAACACACTGAAACTCAAAAGTGCAGGTGGTTTTGAAATTCCAGTGTAGGTTTCATGTGAAAGACTGTCCAGTTCTAATTTGGCTCAAACTCTTTAAGTGATTGTGCAGGAGGCTGCAGAAGACTACCAGAGATAATGTAGCTATTGATAACTGTTTTGACAAGCGTAAAAATCAAGAAAGTAAACAACTAGTAAGAAAAAAACCAATCCTACAAGTCACAGCTGACAAAAATCCAAATTAGCAAAATCTGAAGGCAACAGCAGTTTTTCCACAATTTGATCTTCCCAGAGAAAAACAGCCTAAGCTTTCCTTTCCAAAGACTTCATACAAAACCACTGACACTCACAGAAGATTCAGTTCAAACACATCTGTCCTCTAAATGATTTGAGAGTTTTCTTAAATTCTCCCCAAACAAGACCTATTTCTGGACACTGGAGAGTGAAGTTGTTCAAAACAGTTTACAGTTGACACCTGCGAGACAGTAATTTGAAGCAAAGGGAAAGCAAAAGGAAGCGATCGCCAGTGTACCGATTACCAAGCTCTCCTTGAATGCACAAGGAACAGTCTCTCTCTGGGACCATCACTGACATTTTCTGCACCTCTCAGGGGGTTGTATTACCAACAGGTGCAGATGCGCCAGTGCCCAACAGCTAAGAGGCAGAATGAAGATTTTGCTGTCCCTGCCATGTGACACTTCTCTACTGGAAATATTCACAGGATCAGTTCAGAATAGGCCCCTGCAAGTGAAGGCAGGAGTGTTTGGATCTAGGGGGCAGAGAGCTGGCAGAGCAGACCTATGAATGGGGGAGAGGTAACAATTTATGGGTTGAACCTTACCTTCTTGATTACAGAATAATGTATCTTGGATTAATCAGGTAAAAAAATGAGAGAAGTTGTGAAAGGGCGAGGAAGGCAGGAAAGTATCTTTTGCTTTGAACGAATCCTGCAGGTCTGTGACTGCGATCACTAGCCTATCACTAGTCAAAGAGAAAGAAGGCTCTGTAAGAATAGGGAGCTCAGCAGATCCACAGACTCTCAAGTCAGCAGTAATCTCCCTTCCAGCCACTGGTAACATGGAAAAAAACAGCAAAAGGAAAGACCATTCAGTCTCTCCCCAGTAACTTAGTGGAATCCATCCTTCTCTCAGAACCGTTCATCAAGTAGGACTTGCATTTAAAAGGGTCCACAGAACAAAGTAAAAATTAAGATTGGGCTTTTAGGACAGCAACATTATTTCAACCAGTTGGAGGAAAGCTATCTGCAAGGCACTGACTCCTTTATCACAATCTCCTCAGACACAACACTCATTTCTGCATGTGAAGTGGAAGTAAGTGTTGATAAATGCAATGAAGAACCATTCATCTTCCTTAATGCTGGTTGAAAAACAAAACAAAACTCACACCATTCATTTAAAAGCCATTTATTACTACAGAAGAGCAGCGTGCATTACTAGGATAAAAGATTCATCGTAGCTTTTAAAATTAAGGCAGATAAAACCTGAAGACTAAGATCTACTGATCTAGACTAAGCAAGGATGCTGCCAGCAAGGCACTGATACCATCTCATTTCCTACCACTATCTACTAACTTAATTCATGTGCTAAAAAAATACACCAAAACAACTGAAATTGGAGCTTTTTTTTGCAAATACTTTATGAATTTATTGTATTTTGCAATTAATTTAGGTTTTTAACATCTCTCCCACTCTTTGCAAAGAATGTGCTCTCCAAACTGTCTCCTAACTGGAATGCGACACAAAAAAAAGACAATCACTTCCCTTATTCAGAAAAGCCTAATACAAAGATACTTCTGACAGTACTGAACTTCATAGCTGCAGACAATGAGATTCCAACCATCAGTT